CACATTTTGAAATGGTCAAACATATTAGGGTGGGGGAGGGGGGCTAGTTGTTCAGTTGTTCGCAGAGTAGTCAAGTGCCTACCCTGACTACCCCGTGCGCACGCTTATGATTCTATTAAAAGAGCATTGAATGAACTCTTCTTTACCATGTGGTGATACACTTGAAATAGTTATATGTTTTATACATTGTTGACTTAATGAGTATGCTCAAATATATCTGAAAAAAAAATACATTAAGAAAATTGTAAAATTCTTTTTTTTTTTAATCTCATAATTTTTCTGTAGCCTGTTGGTTTCTATAATTCAATCGTTACTTCAGTACTTAATTGTTTATAATGCTTTGCTACATGAATTGTTTAGTGTGATCTTTAAAGATATCAAAAAAGCCTATGTATTTAAAACTAAAAGAAGCAAAATACATATCTAATTTTAAACTTTAAACCCACATACTGCTTTGTTTGGAATGAATGACCTACTCTAATCTAACAATCAAAGACTTTAACAACCTTAGTAATTTATTACTTAAAAGAAAATATTTAATATTGTACACACATAATTGTTTCATTACATAATAAATAATTTATAACTATTTTATTCAAACATTTAAAACTTCATACAAACAAACCATTTAACTTTTTAGATTCAGAGCAGAGCGATTAATGTATTGATTTTACAATGTTTTATGTTGTTTTTTTTTTGTGTGTGTGTACATGATAAATTGTCGAAAATATGCTTCAATTTTCAACTTCAGTTGCTTTCTGGTTGGGAAGTGAATCTAGTTGGTGCATTGGGGAAGTCAAATTTTGACTTAAAAAATTCCTAGTAACTTTCAAAAGCACCGAAAAAATAAAATAAAGGAAAACGGGAATTTTTAAAATTATTGATTTTAGATATTGGTATAACTCTTAAACAAATCACTGTAGACACATTAATGTTTATACTGGCATTTTCTATACATGATAAAAGTTTTACAATTTTTGATGCATTCTTATGAGCATTCAAATTACAAAATTGTAAATTCACTTAATTTCTCTTGTACCGATATTCTTATTTTGTTGTTATTCAAAAATGAATAACTTAAAAATAAAGAAATTTACACMATATGTTTATTTCATCAACTGGTATACTGGATACAATTTTCAAAATATTTCAGTTGGAAAATATTAAAAATACATAAACACGTTTTATTTTATTACTGTTTAAAGTTATTAAACATTTATAAAATGTTTAGCTTTTATAGCTAAGTATTGAAAATTTAAAACAAAGCTCCATGTAAGTAGTTGATTCTGCAACAAAAAAATCTAAGCACTATACAAACAGTTTTTTTTTTTTTATAGTTATTTTAATTTCAAATTTGGATGAAATTATATATTTAGTAACCAAGAATAACAATTTCAGTTATTATATTGTTGTATTTTAAAAATATTATTCACGAGTACTTGAAATTTATAGAGAATACTTTATATTCTAATTTTAATAGTTAATGCTGTTAATGACTTATATTAATACTTTGTAATAAATTGTATATACTATGAATGAATGAGTGAGTCGGGTACATAATGAATCTATTTGATTAATTTGGAATTTATTTTATAGGTATCTACTATCTACCCACATTTTWAAAAAATTATAAATATAGTATATAATATCCTAGATGGACAAACCATCTCTCAGAATCGTTTTTCATGTAAAATGATTTTATATCATTGAATTCAAATTTAATACCATCCATTACAGTAATTCACTTGTAAACTACTGTATAGCAGAGCGACATCCTTTCTAAATTAATATATTGCTCCGAACAACCTTAAAATCTACTGCTTTGTTTTATTTTACTTTTGTTGAGTAGTCATCTATTAGCTATGTTGTATAGTTTTTTAATCGTTTGATACTTTTTAAATTGGTCTATAGTTATTTACCTATTTTGTAACAGTCATTTTTTTTGTTTCAGTTCATTTGTTTCTAAAAGAAATGTTGGAACTACTAATTTTGATGATATAGATTGTGAAGTTAACAATGTTGACAATATGGTACATAACAACATCATTGAAATTGAGCCTGAAAGATCTCAGTTAATTTTATCTGATATCGGGTCTGTGAAAAAGTCTTATAGTTGTCAACTCTGTAAATTATCATTTTCAAATATTGAAGATTTAAATAATCACCAGAAATTAGATTTAATAAATTACCAGAAATTGTATAAACCTCAAAAATCGCAGTCAGCATTTTCTGAAGAATTAAACTTGACAAAGCATAACAAAACAGCTGACCAGAATATAACTTTTAACTGCATGTACTGCATTAAAACATTTACAGTTAAATCAAATTTAACTGTGCATATAAGGAGTCACACTGGGCAAAAACCATACAAGTGTGAACTGTGTCAAAGATCATTTGCTCAAAAACAAAATATGATGTGTCATATGAGAACACATACAGGATATAAACCTCATTCGTGTCGGATTTGTAATATGAAGTTTGGCCATAAGTCATTATTAGACTACCATGAATGGAAACATACTGGTATTAAACCATTTAAGTGTGAAGTTTGTGTTAGAGAATTTTCTCGGAAATCAAGTTTAGTTTTTCACCAAAAACACAGTCATACAGGTGAAAAACTTTTTAAATGTAATGTTTGTGACCAAACATTTTATAGAAAAACTTTTTTGAAGAATCATATGAAAGTCCATAATACTCTGCAATTGGAAAAATGCCATATTTGTGATAAAACTTATTCTTATAAATCAAGCTTACAAAGACATTTGTTGATCCATTCTGGTGAAAAGATGTTTGAATGCGATATGTGTAAAAGATCCTTTTATCGGAAAACAGGTTTACTTGCCCATATAAAAGTTCACATGAGAAAGAGACCTTATGAATGTAATCTTTGCAGATCAACATTTCTTACAGCATCAGAACTAAAAAGTCATTTAAAATCTCACTCCAGTAATAAACCATTTCAATGCCAGCTTTGTGATGCAAGTTTTATATTACAATCACTTTTAAATACTCACATGAGATCTCACTCTGGAGATAGACCTTATCAGTGTCCTTATTGTTTAGTGACATACGCTCAAAAGAAGAGTTACTCTTACCATTTAAAAACTCACAAAGACCATGAGTTGTACAAATGCAGTTTGTGTAGAACATCATTTTTTCAAAAAAATAAGCTAATTGATCATTTAAGATTACATACTGGTGAAAAACCTTTTAAATGCCTTGTGTGTAACAAGAGATTTGCACAAAAAGCTGTTTTACAGTCACATATGAGAACTCACAGTATTGATAAAAAATATAAATGTGACATATGTAGAGCAATCTTTGAACAAAAATCAAATTTGATTAAACATATAAAAACTCACCTTGCCTTTAAATCAAATTTTAGGTGTAGATTTTGTAAGGCTACATTTTTACAAAAATCTTCTTATATGAGTCATATGAAAATGCATTCTACAGGCAAGCTTTATAAATGTAGTGTGTGTGGTACTTCATATCTACAAAAAACTGACTTAAATAAACATGAAAAGACTCATAAGATTGAAAAGGCTTTACTGATGTGTAAACTATGTAATCAATCTTTTCCATCAAAAATAAAACGTATAAATCATGAAAGAAAATTTCACACCGAAGAAGCATTTCAATGTCTTATCTGTTATAAATTGTTTTTTGAAAAAAAGGAATTAACACTTCATATCAAATTGCATATGAAGGTTATGTCATCTGAATGTTTGAAATGTAAAGAACCGTTGCTACAAGCGCCTGTTTCGGCTAAAGTATTAAGAGCTATTACTGGAAATAAWAAAAATTTATGTGACGTGTGTTCTATCATCTTTTAATCTACCACATATGTAATTCGCTGACACTTCCAGTATTCTGGCATTTCTTACCATATTGAAATTTACTATTTAATACATTCTTTCATTACACTTGTATATACTTAATTGGATTTTTTATTTTATTATTTTAATTTTTACTTTTATTTATTAATAACCTGTTTTAATAAGTATATGTATATAATATATATGATTAGTGATCTGAGCSCTTTATAATTTAGTGCATCTATTAATTGTTTTTACATAAAAAAATTATGTCTCATTGAATGCTATTTCTAATGATTATCTGATATATTCTGTTCTAACATTATAATATAATATTATCCATATCTTATTTAAAATTCATTAGTAATACCCTTGTAATTTCTACCCTATAAAATTAAAATTATTATAATATTGATAACATAAGTTTATGATTTCTATAATATCATGGGAGGAAGTGTTGTCTTGTGAAAACATGAATATGAAACTTCGGAATCAGAAATTAAAACAATTTTTAAACACACATGTCTTGTAAGCCTATTCTTTTTGTTATGAAAACAACAATAGGAGAGATTTTACGATTGATGGAGTAAATAAAATGGTAGGTTAAATTTACGAAAAAAAAATAACCTTAGATTTTGAATTATTGAATACGACTCAAATTGCTCATAATTCAAGTTTTAGGAAATAATTAAGAAATAATCGCTTTATCAATTAGACATTTAACATTGTGGWCAGTAAACTGTTGCGCTTAGGAGGGGAAAGTTTCCCATATGATATTATTAAATAAGCTAATTAATCAAGCATTCAGAGGCTTCTTTTTGAATTACAAAATACAGATTGTAATTAATGCAATGTATATGTAATGAAAATTAGAATATGCTATTTGTGATTAGCATGCCAATTTTTGTTTTGAAATTTATCGTTAAAATACTTTTTCGATATTCTTAAATGTATAGAAAATTTATTTGAAACATCGTAGTACAGCATTTTTTTTAGATATTCCTCTAGAATTTCAATAAATGTTCCCGAGTATATTTTATCCAAAAATCAAATTGTTTTGTATTGATTTTGAAGAGTATTTTGTTAGTCATTAGTTCATTACGAAGAAGCCATGCACAAAGTTGTTAACTCAATATTACGATAGTTCTGGAGACAGCAGTGAAGAAAAATCTCACATCAGTAAAAATAAAATAGATGAATATTAAGGACATGGACCAATTCAATCGAACAAGAAATTCACAACCATCGTTGACAGAACATGAATACTCAGATTAAACCATGGATACTTATACTGTTGGAATAAAATTTTCTTTAAGATGTTAAAAATATTTTTGATGGTATCAACCTAAAATGTATCAATCAAAAAACGAGCTACTTGAAAATATAATTAACATAAATGTATAAATCTTCAATTTTCTAAAACAATATACATACTTAAATTGTATACTCTTGGTTTCAAAATGATTAAATTTTCTTAAAAAAATTATTCTATAGRTTAAATTATAAATTATATTTAGATTACTGTGCTGAAAGAAAGTTAAATACATATTTTTGCCCTATTAAAAAAAGCCGTTAAGTTTCTTTAAATTATTGTAAACATTTTTTTAATCTAAAACTAAAAAYCAGAAAAAATAAATATTAATGATTGATGAAATTTCTCTTCATACTGGTATAAATTTCAACAGTAGGAATTTAACATTTAATGGATTAAAAAACTGATGATTAAGTTGACAGTAAATCAGATAGCTCTAAGCAGTAAACCAGAATTTAGTGTTTATGTGGCAGAGTCTTGGAGATAATATCACTCTACGATAGCTGTTTTTGTATCAAAATGACCATTTAAGGATTTGAAATATGTTTCTACTACTGTAGAGATTTTCTTCTATGTCTATATTAATTATTTTAACTATAATTTCATAAATAACAACATTTTATTTTATTTTAGGTTTTGATCTTTCTCAGCTAGTTATGAAAGCAATTTCATTGGTAGAAGATGCTGGATTGCAAATTTTAGGTCTAACAAGTGCAGATGGCGCAGCTACAAACAAAACTATGTTTAAGCATTTAGGACAATGTAAGGTTAATTAAAAAAATTATTTTAAATATCCATTTGATAGCAAAATAAAAAAAAATATTTGTGTTTTGTGATTCTCCTCAGACCATTTAGATTTGTTTCAATGATATTAAAAACTTAAGAAATTCATTTCGATTTATTGAAAATCCGTGGGCAGTAACTACAAAAGAAATATTTGAAATTAATATTATGAATTGTAATATTGGTTTATTGAAAAGTGAATTAATTGACTTACAGCAGGACATAACATTAAAAGATATTTTTAATGGTAAAAATAATACAATGGAATTTTGTAATACACTTGAGGAACATCAATATCCTTCCCTTTTATCAAACGTAAAAGGTATTCTAACATTTTTTGGATCAACATATTTATATGAAGCTGCTTTTAGTTAGGTAACATTTATAAAAAAACAATTACAGAAATCGTTTGAGTGATGTGCATTTGGACGATTTACTGCGGTTGTCAACATCAAATAAAACCATAGACATAAACAAAATTATAATAAATAAATCAAATTAATTAATTTTAATTATATTAATATCAATATTAATCTAATAATTTAAAAAATATATAAATTTAATATACTAATATAATAATATGAATAATTTGTATTTTGTATAAAATAAACTATGAATTGAAATTTAAAATTGTAATTATAAATCCAAGAAAAACATTTATGTCATTCACATACTTTTTCCTACAATACCCTTTCCTAACAATATATATATATATATATATAATTTTTATGTTTTTAATTATTAAAAAAATAATTAAAAATGTATGCGACCCGCAAATAATTTTCAAAAATTACATATATTTGGCCCATTCTACAATCCTAGTGAGGACCGCTGATTTAGAATGTAAGAAATCGTTTGGAACAAAATAAAAATATTAAAAGTAAGAAAAATTCAACAAATTAATTTACTTATAATAAGACTAATGAGATAAAATATAAAATATATTTTTATGAGGTTATTAGGTACATCATATGAACAGTTTTTTTAAATGGTAACATATTTTATATTTGTAAAGTATTTAAACTAGAATAATTGCATTGCATCCATTAAAAATTTGCCCAAAGATAACTAAATTCATATAGAATTAAACAGCTGAGCCAAAATAAACAAGAAATACAACTTACAAGTTATATGTAACTGCTGAATAGGTATATTATCATGTTTGTTAACATAGTATTTTAAAATTTTATTTTATTTATGCATGTTTTATATTTAGCTGTCAAGTTAATTGATGGTTGTTGGGTTAAAAATTTACAGTGATCAACAATGTATTGATTTAAGTGATACTCTAGACTCTAGAGACTGAATATTTTACACTACTGATGAAGGAGTGATATGTTGCTAGAAAATAAAAAATTCCCAGCTTTAAGTAATTGGGAAAAGGGTCAAGATTTTGAGGTTTTTTATGTATTGTACAAATTATTGGTAAATAATTATTATGTATGGCAAAGAGTTTGGGTAGTTTACTAATTATTTAATGTTTCACAATTCATGTTTAATATAAAATTTATGTTTAAACCATAAWAGCTATTTGGTTTAAAAATGATCCTATAGTCCAATACTCCAATGTATACTATTAATTATAGGTGGGTAATTAAAGTTTAGTATAGTGGTTTCGGTATGGTTAGATAAATGGGAGATTCGAAGATCTGAAAGTCATATAAAAAATAAAGAGTTCTTACTAAAAATACAGCCGAATCATTGAGAATAACTATTTGAAGTCCATAGTATATTCTATTAGTCTGTTCACAATTAGGGAGTTTACCAATTGTGCTTAAAATGACCTTTTAATATACCAATTGCGCTTTGTCTTTTTAGGTCGATAGACCAATTGTGCTTAGYTGTTTTCAGAGTTTATAATATTATTCTACATTACACCTAGTATATAAAAATATGTATTATAAATAGATTTTTTTCAGTCAATACAAAAAAATTACACAATGAACGTCAATATTAATAATATTTGTACAATATAAATCTATACCAAATCATACACCTAGATACACGCCAATAATAAATAATTAATATACATAAAAATATAATATGTCTGTATAGTACCTATTAGACTGTGTGTGGAACGTAGGTACAAATTAGGCAGATAAATAGGTGGATAACGATCATT